GCAGGGGGGGCCGTAGGTAGGAGGGGGACGGGGACGCCTCGAGCTCCTGGGGTCTGGCTGGCCGGGGATGTGCTGTCCCCGTCCCAGTCCAAGGGACAGTGCTCGGTGCTGGGGTCAGGGTTGTGCCGGTGGCGGGGCGGTGGGCCAGAGCGTGGCCACGAGCCCTGCCCTCACCCCGGCCGGGGTGATGACCCCAGGCCGTCACCCTGCCCCGGGAGCCGGGCTGCAGGGATGCAAGGGGCTGGAGGTGGGCAACGGCAGGCCGGGGGGTGATGGAGGGACACATCCAGCAAACCCCAGCTGGGTTTAAGGGTGGGGGGCTGTAGAGGTGGGGGACACATCCAGCAAACCCCAGCTGGGTCTGGGATGGGCCAATGGGTGGGGGACACGTCCAGCGAGTCCCAACCAGGTCTGGGATGGGGGTGATGGAGCAGGGGACACATCCAGGCAACCCCAACCGGTCTGGGGTGGGGGTGATGGGGGGAGACACCTCCAACAGACCCCAGGGGGGGTCTGGGCCAGGGCAGGGGCCAGCTGACGCAGCGGGTGGCTCTGCTCGCAGCTCCGTCGGGGACCGATGTGGACCTGGAGGCGGCAGGGAGCAGGAGGCCTGTGTCCCGGCGGGACACCCATGAGGTGGGTGCTGCCCAGGGGACCCCTATTCCCTCCCCATTCCTGGGGGCAGGCAGACTGTGGCCACCTGGGGACCACCCCACACCAGCCCCTGGGGACACCAGGGCACAGGGGTGCTGGCACGGGCAGCCGCAGCCCCGGGGCTCCTGGGGGTCGTCCCCGGTACGGCTGGGGGGACCCTGACACCCCCGGCTCCGGCTGCAGGGCTACGTGGAGCTGCACGAGCTGGTCATGGACAGCACGAAGGAGCTGTGCTGGATGGAGGCCGGCCACTGGCTCCAGCTAGAGGAGGACTTCAAGGAAGCCGGGCACTGGGGCCAGCCCCATCTCTCCTTCCTGACCTACCGCAGCCTCCTGGAGATCCGCCGGGCTTTGGCCAAAGGTGGGGACACCGGCTGGGGCCGGGATGGCAGCGGGGACCCCAAGCCAGCTGGCCGGTGACGGTGCTGTCCCTGCAGGCGCCGTGCTCCTCGACGTGGCGGCCACCTCGCTGGCGGCCATCGCCCACATCCTCATCGACCAGATGATCTACGAGGGGCAGATCAAGCCGCAGGACCGGGAGGACATCCTGAGGACGCTGCTGCTGCAGCACAAGTACGGCCGGGGCTGATGGCCCCGCGGGGGGGCGCCCCGGTGTCCGGGCTGGATCCGACCCCAGCGAGTCCCGCTGGAGCCTGGCATGGGGTGGAAAAGCCTCTCTGTGTTTTGGCTTTGCCTCCCAGCCCAGTTTGGGGGTCCTCGTGCACCCCTGGGGCTGGGGTTGTCTTATGGGGGGTTTGGGGGGGTCAGTGGCGCTGGCCTGTCTGACGCTGTCCCC